GTATAAAGTGGGGGCCGCGTGGAGGCTGCAGCGGCGGCGCGGGCGGCGGCGGCGCAGCTCCTCCGAGGTCCCGCTCCCGCTGTCTCTGCACCGCGGGGAGAGCGCACTCTGCGCCCCGCCTCGCCGCGCGCTCCAAGGGCTTCCCGCCGGGACCATGCGCGGCCGCGAGCTGCCGCTCGTCCTGCTGGCGCTGGTCCTCTGCCAAGCGCCCCGGGGACCGGCCGCTCCGGTGCCGGCGGCGGGAGACACCGTACTGGCCAAGATGTACCCGCGCGGCAACCACTGGGCGGTGGGTGAGTGTCCGGCGCGCGCCAGTCCCCGGTGGGACCAGCCAGCCTCAGGGCGCGGTCTCCCCAGCTCTCAGCGTTTCGGGCGCCAGGCTTCGGGGGCTGGGTTTGCTCCAACCTTTCTACCCAAGCGTCATCCCCGTTCGCCCAAAACTCCACTCCACCCTTCCCCGTCCTGGGAAGCCGGGGTCCCTCGGCAGCTGCGGGCTGGTCCCCTGGTCCTTTCCCGCTCTCTTCCCTCTTCCCCAGCGCACCGAGCCAGCGCGCAGCTCTCCAAAACGCCCAGCCCTACGCGAAAGGAGCTCACTTTCCCTCCGCACCTACCCGGCACCTCCTTTGATCCCGCACGGTTCTCTCCTTGCACAACTTTGGGAAGCCGGGTCCCCGAGCGCGACTCTGAGCCCTGGTCCAGTACGGCGGCGGCCTTGATTCTGACTGGCGTGAGCCCGGGCTGCGCAACTGCCCCGGGCAAAGCCACAGGTTGGGGACCCGGGGCGTGCGCGCCTGCCCCGGGTTTCAAATATGTTCAGCTAGCAGTGCCTGAATCCCGGCTCTGTTTGTGGCATTCCCGAATTTTCTCAGTCCTCTCCTGCCTGTGCAGTGATCCCTTTTTCTCTGCCTCTCTGCCAACACTCCTTCTTTCCATTCAGCAGGCTTGGCGCTCCGGGCATCGCGCCTGCCTTCCTCGCTGACCCCGGGCTCTCTGTCCCCTGAGCCCCACTTTTCTCCAGCTCTCTAGACCTGCGACCTCTCCTCCTCCCCCAGCTCCTTTCCCGGTCTCTCTGCCAAGTCCCGCTCTCCAGGCACCCGCTGGAGGTTCGCTAGTCCGGGCTCCCGGACCCCCAAGCGGCGAGGGCAAGGCTGTGCACCCACAGCTGTCCCTCAACTGGGAGGCAGGTAGTGTCTGGAAGCCTGGGGCTCAGCCAGCGTCACCCCAGAGCATAGCTTCTGGCAAATATAAAGCGTCTAACTTCCTCAGAAACCTCCCCATCAAGCCAACTACAGCAACCCCAGCATTTCCTGGGAATCTGGTTAGCCTCTAAACAGATTTAAGGGTGGTGGTGGTGGTGGTGGTGGTAGTGTGTGTGTGTGTGTGTGTGTGTCTATTTCCTTCGTCATCTGCTGGAAAGAAACTTGCTAATTCAAATATCAACCAAAACACAGATTCTTGTTGTGAACGGGCGAGGCTGGGACTGCCAGGTGCTCAGCTCTCTGGGTGGTCTGTGCCTGTCAGAGAATTTGAGCCTCCTGGTTGCAATGGAGTAGTTTTCACTACTGCAGAAAGAATCGTTTGCCAAGTCTTGCAGCCTCAGGGATGAAAGCATTTGAGATCTCTGAAATACACTCAGAACCCAGGAGTCAGGCGTGGAGAGGAGACATTGGGATTGTGAAGGTAAAAAACGCACCCTCAAGAGAAGAGGACATTTAGGTGTTAAAGAAGCCACATCTAGAATTGACCTTCTGGGAGCTCAGAGCTAGTGGCCATTGTCCAGTCCAGCCACCTGCCGGTGGACTGGGAAGGCGAAGTGAAACTTCCAGATTTCCAACCTCTTTTTGCTCGTCCATATTTTTGTACGAAAAAGACCTATTATTAGATAACTCTTGCAGGCCCAAAGGAAGACAAGAGAGTTTGCGAGAAGCTAGAATCATGTTCTTTCTGGCCCTGATTACTGTAATTCCGGAGCACAGCTGTCCCCAGGTAGTTAGGGCGTCTGGCATTTAATCACCCTTCAGGGTGGTGCTTGGGCATTCCTAACCCAAAACGTACCAGTGGCAACCTTACATTTTCTTATTTGCTCTCAAACACACTCTGTTTCCTTTTTCTCCTTTGGCTGGCTATGCAGAGTCGAGGAAAAACAACACTTTGTGTCTTAACGGGTATTTTCCTAACTCTAAGTTTTGAATTCAAAAAAATTCATTTATGTGTCGAAACTACTATTTTAGTGGTATTTTTTAAATGACTAAAAGGACCAAATCTAATCCTGCTTTCCCCTCTGGGCACAGTTTTATTATTTCAAGTGCTTGTCTTTTGTCTATGCTGATATCTCCATTATTATGATATGGACATAACAAAAGATGATGGGAGAAGAGGTGGAAGTGGCATATCATCCTTGTTGCCATGGAGATGACTGTTTGGTTGACAGTTGCCAGCTCAAAAGTGAAACAGGACCAGGGAGTGTGCACTTTCCTTAATAACCAGCTTGTGGATGCCTGGGGTGGAAGTTAGAACACTACCCACTCACCAAATATGCAATTTAAAAATTCCAAAAAATGTCACAAGGGTCTACGTGTTAAATCAATCACAGAATGGAAGACTACTTTATCTTCCCATTTCAGAAAAGTCGACAAAATTATTCAGGCATGATGACGAAAATGAAGTTATTGGTAAAAACATCTCCATGACTCCTCTGCTTCATTGGCAATAATGCCTTTCTCCTCTCCGGTATCCTAACGAGATGACAGGCAAGGACAGAAGGCGGGAGTGACCGAGGTCATACTGGGAGCACCGGGTTCTAATCCTGCTTTCTCATCATAGTGATTCAATTGCTTCCATATAAATAAAGCCAAATGCCTCACCACATCCTGGGAAGCTATGCGACATAATCACTGTTTTGGCTACATGCGAGGCTAGTTAGTGGATATCTAGGTACCGTGTTGACCAAGCAGATAAGTGAGGAGCCGATCATTCAGGATTCCAACCCTTCAGTTAGGACGGTGTCCTCAACAGGTTCTTGGAATTGTGTGGAGTGTCATAAGTGCCTTGACAAGTGTTCACACTGCAATGCAGTAACAGCTCATTTTAAGGCTACCCAATACTCACAGAATTAATTTTCTGAGTCACATAATGAGTCATGGTATACTGATATGTGATCCCTGTTTTAAAAAGTTATACTAGAAAGCCTTTTGTGGACCTTACTTTTATTTCCAGACCCCAGAATGATTTCTAACTGCTTTATAGTCTTAGGAAATTCAAAGACTTCAAAGCAGTATAATATAGTAGAGTCTGGGCTGTGAGCTGATTTTAATCCTAGAATCTTCGCTTATGTGTGTGTTAACCTTGGCAAGTCTCATTTTCATCAAACGTACTATAGGGTGGATCGAATTAAATAATCTGCATTTAAACATCCTGGAAACTGTCCATCGCAATAAACATGCCAGCATCGAAGTTACAGTGAGGGCTTCTCTTGGTGGATAGAGCTGCTGGAAAGGGACCTTTTTCTATTTTGAGTGACTGAGGTCTCTCCAACATCATTCCCACACTTCTAATGCCAGACAACGCTGCAGCCACGAAGAGCTCTTTCTTTGTGAGCTTTAAATCCAAAGTACCATCTACGGCCATGCCACCCTGAACAAGCCTGATCCTGTCTTATCTCGGAAGCTAAGCAGGGTCTGGCCTGGTTAGTACTTGAATGGGAGACCACCTAGGAAGACGGGGTGCTGTACGTGTAAAAAATAAGGGATTGTAAGCTGACAACGTCCTTGCAACCTGTGAGGTCAACCAAAGGTTGCCTCACCTAAAAAACAAACAAACAAACAAACAAATAAATAAATAAAAATCCAAAGCACCATTAATATTACAAATGTGAAAATGCTGTAAAAGCCAATAACAGAGAGATGAGAAAAGTCAAATGAAGAAGGTAAATAAGATAATGTGAGCATATTTAAGCAATGGGCTTAAGTGTTAAGAACGCAGACCTTGAAATTCCTACCTCCTTCTGACTCTATGGCTATGTCCACTTGCATACTTGAATGTCCATGTTTTCAGTGGTTTGGCCTTCTGCACAGCAATTTTTATTTATTTACACAACAGGTGCACATCCCTGGAGCCATTGATAGACTTTCACTGATCATTTTAGACATCCAAGAGAAAATTCTGCTTTTATGTGACTGCAAAGCGTTGTTGGTCAGAACTTGTTTTCAACTGTTTTTTTTTTTTTATTACATCTTAACAAACTGTAATTTCTAGGTGATGCTTCCTAGATTCAATCTCAGCTAAAATTTAAACTTTCTGAGGAAGTTTAAATGAAAAATTCCTTTGGTACATTTGTATTACAGATAAGAGGTAAGCAACCCCTTCTTTTTTTTAATCACACAAAGAAAAGCATCAAGACTTTTCAGTAGCAGTTTAAAATTGGTTGGGGAGGATGTTTAAACTCCACCATTCAGTTGGGAATGGAATTCGGTGCACACAGAATTGGTGATAGAATTTTAGACATGGAAGATTCCTTAGATTTCATCTATTCCAAGTTGTTCACTTTATAGTTGAGAAATTGAAGACTGGGGATGCTAAACGACTTGGCAGAGGTCGCCTAGCTCGTTAGCAGAGAGGCTGAAAGCAAACCCAAGGCTTCTGAGTTGCAGGTCTGAATTCTGCCCAGCTCATTGAATGTTTTGAACACAGAGCAAAATCTGTCAGTCATTTATGAACTAGCTCCTAATGATAAAATGCTGTCTATTCTGCATTTAGGAGGAAGCAGCAGAAACATAATTGGGGTCCTTTCAAATTTCTCATTCATTCGTTCCTCTGGGTTAAGTCTGTGACATTCTGCTTTTGTTTTGTTTTTTTACAGGGCACTTAATGGGGAAAAAGAGCACAGGAGAGACCCCACATGTTTACGAGGGAGGGAGCCTGAGGCAGCAGCTGCAGGAGTACCTTCTGTGGCAAGAAGCTGCAAGGAATTTGCTGAGCCTCATAGAAGCGAAGGGGACCAGAAGCCATCAGTCACCTCCAAGGGAATCCCCTGGAGATTCACCAGTCTACTTGGGATTTCAAGATTAGAAGCAGCTTTGAAGATGTAGGTTCAAGACACAAAGTAGGTTCAAGACACAAGGAACCTGCTGGGCAAGTGGGGGTGGGATGGGGTGCAGCGGGGGTGGGAGGTGTCTGGGGAGAGTTGGAGGAGAAGGCCCAGCAGGAAAGAATAAAGTTGTTTACAATATAAGCCTTCACGGCTGACGCCAATACACGCCGAGGAAATTAGTCGACAGTTTCTATGTTCTTTTCTTTTCAACATCATAGATTATTTTTCTTCTTCGCACATTAAAATGGTGTTGGTTCAAAACTCCGGTTTAGGGGTTTTATTAGCCATTGTGTTATTTGTTAGCAATGGTGCCTTGATGGGACTTTTGCAATCTGCCAGGCCCTTCCAGAATATTTTGATAGTAGGGCCACAAATTATTTGAGTTGATCCCTGTGGGTCTACAGATATGTTTACTTTTGACGAGCACTCGGGGAAGGGCCTCTTCGCAGGTGTTTTTAGGAGAGAGCATTCTCAGTTTATGACCTTTTATGCAAAATAGTACTTTATTTTGTTCCAAGGTTACTTAGTTCAGGTTTCATCCTAATATTTCAAAACTAAGTGAACATATCCTAGGGCAACTGATTTGTCCTGTAGATGATCTTATGGAAGATACGGAAAACTAATTAGACCAAACCGGCATTGTTTAGACACAAAGACAGTCAACGAGATAAAGGAACGAATAAAATGCATAGGAATAAAATGAGGCAGCTGAAAATGAACTGATTCTCCTTAACTTTTAGGAAGTTTTCATGAAATTTATGATAAAAGAAAAAAATGATTGCAATGCTAGGAATAACAATAATAATAACAGCTAGTTTTATTGAGTGTTTACTCTATTTCAAGTCCTAGGTGAAGCTGTTGACCTCCTTTTGTCAGTTAATGCTCACAGCAGTCTGAGAAGGAAGTTTCAGGAAGATTCTATTATTCTCTCCATTTTGGATTCTCAGTGAGGAAACTGAGATGATCACATAATTTTTCTCTGGTGAAACCAGGACGAGAGCCTGCACTGTCTACCTTGGACAGTCAGCTGCCGTGAGACACCTTCTGGGAAATGGTCCACATTGATCTTGAACATGAAGGATGCAGGATGCAGTAGCAGCCTCGTTTCTCCCTGTTTCTGATAGTAGATAATACTGCTCTTCACTCACAGAGCTTCAGCGGCTGGCTTCTTCACTTTTTCATGGTGGTTAACTCTTTGATCGACGGCCCCTTCGCAGAGGATCAGGCTGGCTTTGCCAAGCCTCAGCAGCTCCTCTGGAGAGAGGCTTCGTGTTCCACAGCCCTTTGGCCCACTATAGATTCTCTAGGCTAAATCCAAACTAAAAGTTCATTTGTTGCATTAAACACCTAGAGAGAATAAAGGCTCTAGATGCCCTTATTCAGAAAAAAAAAAAAAAAAAATCTGGAAAAGATCAACCAATAGAGAAATAAGTACCAACTCTGTACGAAGTCCTGAGTGATTCTCTCGTTCACACTGTATGGTAGGTGTTACCGGTGCATATGACCAGCACCCTTTCTTGTTAGTGGATCACACAGCTCTGAGAATTCCAGAAATTTGGGATTACCTTCTCAGCCCCTGGCTGGCCAGGCCTTTTCTCGGTCAAGTGCTTTGCGGGACTTCCTGCTGGCGGTTGTCCAATGGCAGGCAGTGCCTTCTGTTCGTCTAAAGAGTGACACCAATCAACACCACAAACCCTCTAAAATCATTTTACAAACACTGAAATGGACTTACCCTTATAGCCCATTCACAAAATACTCCTCCCCTCCAAAAAAAAACGCAATCCTGGTATTAATCTCTAGCGCCTTGCTTTTGAACTAAATAGCAATATCCACTTTGAGTTGCTTTCTCCTCGCCCCAAATCTGGCTCTGCATAGCTTTGGAATGTTTTGAAGAATTCACTTCCTTCCTCAAAGATCAAAATTTTCCCCACCATATTCAGAAGAATGTTCTGTAAGTTTGAAGGCAGTTACAAAAGAATAGCTCCAGAAAGGTAGTTGAGTGGCAGTAGCATAGATAGACTGAGTGGGCCATCACAGAGAGCGGCTGCTCCAAGGCGACAATATTTATCGGTATTCGATGTGACTTGAGAAGACATCTTTTGTAATTAGGTCTTGCTTTTCTATTATGTCTTTTTATGCCTCGTTTTTCTTTTTACAAATTCAGAGAGCCCATCTCATTTCATTCCATCGCATGTTGAATAATTAGCTATCGCCCACATGGTACCGTTCTTTTGAATATATTTCCTATATTCAATGGTTAGTTTCGTATTTGCATAAACTAAAACAGCTTATCACTCCCTTTTGTTTTGGAAAGTCTGCCTCAATGAAAATATGTTATGAAAATTGAAAAAAAATCTTACGATTGTCTTATTCACAAAGAAGGCACATTGAGAGAATAGTTCTGTTGGAAATCCACATCTCTCTCGATGTCAGAAAGAAGTTTGATAACTTAGCTAGGCGTTGTCAAAATAAGCAGCAGTTTTCAAAGCCTGAAGGGTTTTCCTTTTCTTTTTCTAACTTTTTTTCAGTTACAGTTGACATTCAATATTATTTTATATTAGTTTCAGGTATACGGCATCGTGGTTAGTATAGTACCTACCTGGCACTATACATAGTTATTATAATTATTACTGTACTTCACATCCTTGTGACTATTTTGTAACTACCAATCTGGACTTCTTAATCCCTTCATCGTTTTCACCCAGCCCCCGAATGCCCCTCCCATCTGGCAAACATCAGTTTGTTCTCTGTGACTATGTGTCTGTTTCTGTTTTGTTTGTTTATTTTGTTCTTTAGATTCCATGTGTAAGTGACGCCATATGGTATTTGTCTTTCTCCGTCTGACTTATTTCACTTAGCATAATACCCTCCAGGTCCATCCACATTGTTACAGCCATTTTTTTTATGGCTGAGTAATATTCTATTGTATATATGTACCACATCTTCTTTATCCAGTTGTCTCTTGATGGACACTTAGGTCACTTACATATCTTGGCTATTGTAAATAGCACTGCAGTGAACATTGTGGTGCATATGTCTTTTTGAATTAGTGTTTTGGATTTCTTTGGGTAAATACTCAGAAGTATTGCTGGATCATAAGGTAGTTCTATTTTTCATTTTTTGAGGATCCTCCATACGGGTTTCCATAGCGGCTGCGCCAATTTGCAGTCCCACCATCGATGCACGAGGCCTCACTTTTCTCCACGTCCTCGCCCGAAGGACTTTTCTTAAAATTAAAAACTGTCCACATATGCTCCCCTCTCCCACTTCAGTGAGAAGACAGCGAGTCCTGTTGCCAACTGTCCCAGAGCTGTAGTCAGAAGCGCTGAGCATCCTTCAGTGTTTCGATGACAGACATATTGACTTAATTCAGAAAAGACTTATGTAAACGTGTACTGAATCCAGACTACGACATCATGGCAAACAAGCTCCAGAACTTAATCAGTAATTATGGCCAATCATTTTCAAGGTTAACCTTACTATTTCTTTTAACTGTACCCTTTTTACAAAAATTAATGGAACTTGGACCCTAGGTTTCTAAACACGAAACAGCGTTCGGGTCTGCTCCAGGGCCTACCCCATAATCCTGAATGTGGCTGTGGTTGGCCTCGGTTTTAATAAAGGTTGAAGTTGGCCTTTGGGTTCCTTTTGTAATTTAGCCAGTGTGTTTTCCTTGCAGCCTTAGGTTTTTCCTCTTATTTGGACGACCTGAGGAAAGGGCCCTGGGGAATGCATTGCCGAGGGTGTTACGGAGAGGAAGGAGAAATGAGTTCGCCCTCACTTTTAAAGAACTGATCTCACTCACTGTCCCATCAAATCAGTACAGAGAATAGAAAGGTTTTACTTCTTAATGCATGAAATGCTCCAAAAAAAAAAAAAAAAAAGCAACATGCAATCAAGAATACCTGAAACTCCTCTGACCACCTGGCGGATTCCGTGAAGGAACAGAGGACGGTCAGGCCCCGCCTCCAACGCAGCTTCTCCGCAGCCCCATCCTGCCTCCTGGGCCTCGATCTTCCTGGGATACACAACTCTTCTTGTCCTTGTACCTTTACTTCCGCTCCCTTGAACCCAACTGCTTGGATTCAATATTTTGAGCCAATGGGGGATTTCTATGGACCCTTTTCCACATCCTCAACTGGCCCCTTTTATGACCTGCATTTGCAGAGAAAAGCAGAGCTTATCGGCTTTTGTGGGACTTGAACCCCAGGCCCTGGCCTCATGAACCCTTGGTGGAAACAGTTGTGCCACAGAACAGGTAAAAACTGGCCTGCGAGGATCAGTCATTTCTTTATTGTGAACAAATGGCTGGTCTGGATATTGGGGAACCTGACTTACCAGAGAATGTAGGAAAGAGGACTCAGCTCTAGTCCGGGTGAAGAGTGTTTTCTCATCTCAGCCTGTAAAGGGTGCTGTATGGGAACAAAGAAGTACTTTTAAATTACAGCTCCTCATTCTTTCTTCAGCCTTAGTTAATTTGAACAGAAGCCACAACAAGCAAACCGCAATAAATTTAGAATTGGCACGAATCCAAATTAGCTTCTCTTTGCAAGTGGCTCACACTGCTACCATTTACAGTCATGGGTTTACGATGTGTAATTGTGCAATTCATAAACTAGCTCTGATTTGTGTAACGAGGCATTGCCAAAACAAGCGAAGGAAGAATTACGATTCCACATTCCCCAGTAGCTCTCCTACCCAGCTGCTACTTCGGTGGCAAGTTCCCGGGGATAATACATTTCATTTCCAACATTAGTCAAAATATACCTGAGTCATATCAGGATACAAATTAAGCTAATGTAATGAAAAGACCCCAAAATGTAATAGCTCCAAAAAAAAAAAAACCCCAGGAAGTTCATTTTTCTCTGGGGATAGCTCTGGTTCTTGAGCATTAACGTGCTGAGTAAGAATTACCTGGGGGACTTGTGAAAGCCCCGACTGCTGGCCCCCACCCCCAGAGTTTCAAATTCGGTAGGTCTGGGTGACCTAGGACTTAACTTTCCTGACAAGCTCCTCGGGATGCTGATGGTTTGTTGAGAATGAATTTACTCAAGTATTGGACTTTGGCATCGCTGGCTACATTTGCTTAACTCTTTCTAATATATTTTAAATTGGTGATCTCTCTGCTCCAGGTTCTCAACGTGAAGGAAGGAGCCCCCAGCTGAACTGACAATGGCCATCACAGCCTCTCGAAGGAGCAAAGCAAATCCCCGAAGAGACCGTGTTCCACGGGCATCAGCTCTACAGGATCATCAAGATTTCCTTTGTGCAAAATAGTTAACTATTCTTGTATCTTTCGACCTTGACTAAATTGATGATTTTCAAGCAGCTTTGTCTCATTTGAACTTGTTTGCTGTGAATAATTGTCTATAAAGAGTCTTCCCATTAATGCTCTTTATATTTAGGCTATTTGTCAATTATATTCCAGTCTCCGACCTGCTACCAGTCAAAATAAAAGTTTGAACATATTGTCCAATGGGCAGGTGATTCTCTTATTTCAAGTCCAAATGAGAGGACAGTGTGGCAGAGTTTAACAAACAGCTCGATAATGAACTTGTGTGCTTACTGATGAAGGCAGGCTGAAGTTTTAATTCTCTCCTCTGAATCCTTGTATACAGCCTTTCTAAAAGTTACTACTAGAAGCTCACTCTATCATTACCATCAGATAGATTAAGTCAAAGGTAGAGGCTAACCTTATTCATCACTTAATAGTTGCCAATGTTATTGATATTCAACTCAGAGCAGTTTGACAAACTGAGAATAAACATTCTCACTTAATAGATGAGGAAACAGAGGGTTAGAGAAGTCAAGTGACTTGCCCAAGGTCACATAGTGCAACTAGGTAGGATTCAAACATCCAAAGTCACCAATTTTTCTGAAGCATTTAACAGTTTCTACATTACCTAATTTTAAACCTCCCTTTCAGTATATTTAAGTAGCACCGTTTCTTCAAAATCTCATTTCTGGTCTTGGAGGAGAAGTAGTTCCCATAGTCGGATGTAGTCGGATTCATGGCAAAAGGACACGAATTTAAGAGAGCACCTTCCATTTTCAGAGAACGTGACCTGGCGTTTCGTAACACTCACCAGTTCCATTTTTATCATGACATTCACACGTTGACAGATTTTAAAGCTTCTTGCCATATGCTTAGTTTTCCTTCATGTAAGGAAACCACATTTGAAACAGTAGAGATTTATCTTGCTCCTGTTTTGATTGTCGAAGAACCACATGAGATGTGATGTGTTCTTTCTAATTTCTTCTCAAACCGTGTCCATTCACAATTGATACAGAGCCAAACATCTATGTGAAATGTATTTCAATGTTTGACCACCTTGCACTTCTTGAGACCCTCTTGGGTCTCTTTCTCAAGAACTCGATCCTGAGCTGTGTCAACTACAGTCAGCCACATAGCTAATGACAAAGGGGTAAGCCCTATCAGAAAGATTTGCCTGCCGATAGGACACTCACGATGGTGGCATTTCCAGCAGGGAGAGCAAGACAATGCTCCTGGAATAGCCCCATCTAGACTGTCACTTGCCTAGCTATCTCGTGAGAGAGATGATCCTGTATTTTAGCTGCAATCGCTTTTTCTCCATGAGTTCTGACCGGGAGACCAGAGCAGCTCGCTCAAACCTCCTGACCCTGGCAGGGTTCCTTGGTGTCAAGGCCAGGTCAGTATGAGAATCCCTTTATTTAAGAGCTTTTGTGAGCCCTTGTTTGCAAGTGGAGTCTCGTCACGTATCTGTGTATGCATATCGGGTCAGGTCATTTTTAGCTGCAAATAACAGGATCCACCTTGGGTGAAGCAGGAAAGGAAGACCTTAGGAGAGGATAGTAGGCAGGGGAGACCAGAGAAATGGTCTCAAGGCTGAACTTGCAGGTTCAATGCTCAAAGCCAGGCCTCTGATGGGGTTGATAAGATGGCAGCTGCATACATTGCTACCCCTAGAGCATTTTGCACAACTGCCCGTGTTGGCGTTGTCTTCCAGGGCCTCTCACTACCTGTGCCCACAGCATTATGCCCTTGTGAAAACTCTTCCGTCCTTGGCTTACTTCTGAATCAGTCTTGAATATCTGTGTCTCATTGGTGGAACCTAGACCACATGTCTGTATCTAGCAGTGAAGAAAGCTGGGAAATGTAGTTTCTAAGATTCTACTTTGGAAATATGGGACAAAAATTAGGGGAATCTATCAAAAAGAAGAAGGGTGTTTTAAAGACGTGGTCAGCCACAAATAACAGATGTCCCCTTCACCTCTTGCCCCCAAAAGAATTTCCTTGTTTACTTCTGCCCATTCCTATTCTAGAGACCAGTTAACATCCAGCTTGGGATTCTGGGAAAGCAAGAGCCTCGTGTCTGTCTGTTCTTACAGCATACGAGCCAGGTGTGTACATACAGCACAAAGAGACGATTGCTTTTAAAAAGTGCCAATATTTAGAAATCCTTGCAGCAGAGCAGGAAAATCAGGAGGGAAAATCCAAAAGGGAAGAAAGCAATAATTGCCTCTGAATTTGTTATTTTAAAAGCACAGTCTTTTTTATTTTTATTTTTATTTTTATAAGTGCTGCAGGGAGGATTGATTTGGGTGATTTGGTCATCTTTGCTTATGATCAGAGGTTCGGTAACACACCAAGCAGACATTTCAAGCGCTGTAGTACCATTTCCAGACCCCTAATTCCCACCGTTTTGTTCCTGCTGGAGATATTGGATGATCACAGAGCATTTTTTACCCAGCTCCAATGTGTGGAGAGTAATAGAAGTAAAACGTGAGATTTACATCATTCATTTTCTCAGCCACAGGCTGCTTTAATCCGACTCTGTGAAATAGCATTTCAAGGGGATCCCACAACGATGATCTATTGCCATTCCCAGAGCAGAAGGCCACGGTCATTGCGTGCACTGAAAATGCTCTTTCAATTAGTCACCTCCTTAATTAGACTCACAGAAACATCTCTTTACTTCCCTCCTCATTTTTCTTCCACTCTGCTTGGCCCATATAATGTGTAGCCTGATTGACAAAAGAGATAGATCTCACCGCAGGTGGATTGAAGGAGCTTCTAGCAAGAGACGAGCGTGTTTTCATCCTTCCACTTGGACACAGTAACCACGCCCTGCCCTGGTTTCTCCACCAGGTGGCGCTCCGGCAGCTCTGTCTCCAGACACCCTCAGGAGTGGCCTCTCCTCTGCGGGTCAGGCTGCTCTCTTGCTCCTTGTAGGAACAGAAGCCACTCTCTCACACTTCCGCAGTGGCTGTCTTACTAGAGCACACAACACATGTTCCCTGATATTTGGACTTGCTGTTTGGTTCTTGTCGTCATTCAATTACTCTTAGTGAATGTTCCACTTTTGGCGTACTTGGTGAAATCAAACAAGGCATAAAAATTATCATCATGAATGGGGATTGAGTGGACACAGACAAGGAAATTGAGGTCACCCGGGTTCACGGAAGGCCATCTATCAAGGTGCAAAATGTAGGAGAGCCTAACAGAGCCCTTCTCTTTCATACTAGCCTCCATCCTTGCTCTCTCCTTGAAAAGACCAGAGTTCTCCATAGATTAAGACATAGGAGTCACGTAGATTAATTTGTAAATCAGCTGGAAGGAGAGAGTCTAAGTCTTGTTTTTATTTTGTTGTCAAACTGTTAAAACAGAGCTTGTATCCACATGGGAAATGTTTATACAACCAGAGGAGCAATAGCAAGTGTTTCTTTCTTGGGTCTTTTCTTCTTTATCTTAAAGGCTTTGCTCTCCTTGGTCAATTAGCTGGATTTTTGTTCTCTAAGCGCATGTGTTGTATAAGTGTTGATTCATCTCTTTTCTGGTTTCTTAGTTTCTTCATTCCTAAAATAGGAACAATGATATTTGTTGCTTCTTCAATGTAATCCAGCTAAAAATCATTATTTTTCTAGCTCTTTTCTGTCATTCCTGAGAGTGTTGTCTGGATTTTTTTAGTTCATCTTGTAAGAGATATTTAGATAAAAGTAAAATTATACTTTGAGCATGATTATTATACCACTCATATTTTGAAAAATTCTCTTCTGCCTCCTAACTTACTTAGTTCTAAGAGTTTCTTAACATGTATTTTTAAATATAAAAGTCTACTCTTATGTTAATTATTTAGTTTATTACTTCCAAATGTGGGATTTTCCCTATTGGCTTATACCAATGATAGACAAAATAGACACTCCCCTTTGGGAAAATGGGGTACTTGTGAGTTGTATCTATATTGACTAGTGATTGCACTCAGATACATGTAATGAACAAAATAAAATGTCCATACCTTGAAGAAGATAGATATTGAATTTTCCCTCATATCAAAAGAAGTCTGGGGGCTAGCAGTCCAGTGCCAATGCAGTGATCTAAGGATTCTGAGCCAAGATCTTTATGATTTTCTTAAATATTCCTCAGTAATCAGTCACAGGATGGCTGCTACAAGTCGAGCCAACACACCCCAATTTCATCCAGAAAAAAGAAAGGCAAACAAAAAAAGATGGGCCTACCCATATCATGAAAGCAAACTTTCTCAGAAATCCATAGTCTTTGTCCTTTAGTCAGAACTGTGTCACACTGTGTCACATGACCAGCAAAAGAAGCTGAGGCATTTACATTGCTAACCATCCCCCCTTCCATTATACCTTCTCCCCCAAACCATGTTATTCTTAATAATAAGAAGATAGATGCCGGATAGGCAGTGTTTGCCATGTCATCTATTACAAGATTGAATCTGGGAAAGAATCAAGCTGGACCTAGGCGGTCTTAACCTGACATGACTGGAAGACTCCTAGACTACTAGTCTCCGATTCAATACGAGTTTCTCTTCCCCGTGTCCCTTCTGAATGCTGAGTGACAGAAAACCATGATATACACAGTATGCTTTCTTCATAGCCTCGCCTACCCTTCATATTCGAAAACAAGGGACTGCAATAGAGATCATGTTTTGTTCATTGGACGTCATCTTTCATTTCTAAAAGTAAACACAAGTTGTGATATCTCCTGAACAGTCATGTGCTGGTTCTCAATGACGGGGATACGTTCTGAGAAACTCGTCATTATGGGATGTCATCGTTCTGTGAACACCATAGAGGGCACTTACACAGACCTAGATGGAATAGCCTACTACACATCTAGGCTACGTGGTACAGCCTATTGTTCCTCAGCTACAAAGCTGTACA